CTGAGAGGCAGTGACCCCAAGAGGCTATGATGACCCCAGGGATACCCAGTGAGCTTTGTGGTTTAAGGAAGACTTGAACCCTGGCCTCTGAGGTCCTGGCCCAGCGCTCTAACCATGACTCATTGCCTTCATGAATCAAGACTTCCCCTTCCACGCTTTATCAGTTGTTTTATCTCTCCAACAACCAAAAAAACCCAACAACAGTGTTTATTTTGTCACCGTGGGAACCTTGGCATCAGGGTGATGGAGAGGATATTTTCAATATCCCCTTGGCTTTCTTCCTCTTTTTATTCTGTTTTGGCGAAGCCGGTTGCTATTTGTGTGGCAGACATGGGAGGGGAGGGGAGAGAGATGGAACCCTTGTCTTGAGATCTTCTGAGGAAGACTGGTGCTTATTAAGAAGGGAGGAAAGCAAGAAAGAAGCCGCAAGCTAAAACCAAAAAAGAATAATAAACGCTGCTTGCGTCATTTTCCTTCTCTGTGCTTGGATACGTCAGGCAGGCTCCAACAACTACCCAAGGCAGGCTCCAACAACATGGAGAAGGCCTCTGGATCCCAGCTCTTCCTGCATTCCTTGCCCTTGCCATCAGTCCCAGCTAGCATGGCCCATGGGCAAAGGATGATGGGAGATGTAGTCTGGCAACATGTAGAAGGCCACAAGTCATCGTCGTCCCCGCCACATGGGGACCTCATCTGCACTATATGGAGAAAGCAGTTGTTGTTGGCATGCATCTGTCTCGAGAGACAATGGAGTGCACTTCCAGGGGTGAAGTCAAACTGCTATGTTAGCAGCCCCAAAGTGACCTCCCCAAGGTGCAAGCCTAGGCAGTGTGTATGGGGGTCCTGGGCTGCCCAGACAACAAGACCCCCTTCTCGGCCTTGCTGAGGTGGTCCAAAGGAAAGGAAGAAGAAGAAGAAGATGAGGAGGAGGAGGAGGAGTTTGGATTTGATATCCCGCTTTATCACTACCCGAAGGAGTCTCAAAGTGGCTAACAATCTCCTTTCCCTTCCTCCCCCACAACAAACACTCTGTGAGGTGAGTGGGGCTGAGAGACTTCAAAGAAGTGTGACTAGCCCAAGGTCACCCAGCAGCTGCATGTAGAGGAGCGGAAACGCGAACCCAGTTCCCCAGATTACGAGTCCACCGCTCTTAACCACTACACCACATTGATGTTTGGCACCAGCTTGGCTGTAGGAATTGCTGGAAGGAGGCGTACAAGGCACCACCCAACCATCTTCAAGACTCCATTCTGTATTGTGTAGGGTTTGCTCTTCAGACTTGTCTTCTCTCAAAGATATCCCACAAGGCATCAGAGATTTAGGATCAGAGTTTTGCTTCTCCTAGATGGGCTACCAGCCCCTCACTCCCCTCTACAGCACTTGCAGAAACCGCTTTCTTGACTGTTGGACCCACACTTGGTCTTGTCCACTCAATCCACCAAAGACTGTCTTCTCATGCAGGGCAAGTCCCTAACTCACCGAGGGCTTGAGACCCATCAGCTACCCTCACCTGGTTTAGTCGGCCAGTCAAAGCCTTTCCCAGGGTGTGAAAGCAGTATCATGCTACTTTGAACAGTCATGGCTTCCTCCCCGCAAAAGACTCCTGAGAAGTGTAGTTCATTAAGGGTGCTGAGAGGGTGTAGCACAGAGCTACAATTCCCAGGGAATAGGGAAGAGGAATTGACAATTCCTGGTGTTCCCTGGGAAGAGAAATAGACCATTAAACCGCTCCTAGAATTGTAGCTCTGTGCAAGGAACAGGGGTCTTCTAACAACTCTCAGCACCTTTAGAAAAACTACACTTTCCATGATTCTTTGTGGGAAGCAATGACTAAAATGGTTCAATACTGCTTTAAATGTACAGCGGTACCTCGGGATGCGAATGGGATCTGTTCCGGAGCCCTGTTCGCATCCTAAATAGAATGTAAAACGTGATTGCACATGCGTGGGTCGCATTTTGCTGCTTCCGCGCATGCGCATGATGTCATTTTGAGCATCTGTGCATGCGCGAGCGGCGAAACCCAGAAGTAACACGCTCCGTTACTTCCGGGTTGCCGCGGAGCGTAACTTGAAAACGCTCAACCTGAAGCACATTCAACCCGAGGTATGACTGTATAGTGAGGATGAGTTCAGGGGAAGGGCGGGGGTGGAAGGCTAAGAATGAATAAAGCATGCTCCAGGTTGTGGAGTTGTTGAAGCTGAAATGAATTAGGGAAAAGCGATTTAGCCGCTGAGGCAGGAGGGACGTTGAAGCCCTGAGAGGCACCTTTCTGCTGCTAGGAAACGTGGGTAACAAGGAGCCTTTTCCTTCGATCTATCCAGGTTAGGGTGGGGCAGGAGTTCTCCTTAATGAGAACTCCTTGATGAGTGTCTCCTTAATGAGCTTGGGAAACCCCAAGGAATGAAGAAATAAAATATTTCAAGGCACTCTGCCAACATGGGAAGGAGGGTTAGGCCTTCTCTGCCTGCCACCAGGGGCAGACTCTGGTCTTCCAAATTTCAGCGGCACCCTGTGCAAGGCCAACATTTAGTGCCCCCTGCCTTTTGCCTTCCATTCTCCTCAATTCACTGCATCGAAGAAGAAGAAGAAGAAGAAGAAGAAGAAGAAGAAGAAGAAGAGGAGGAGGAGGAGTTTGGACTTGATATCCCACCTTTCACTCCCCTTAAGGAGTCTCAAAGTGGCTAACATTCTCCTTTTCCCCACAACAAACACTCTGTGAGGTGAGTGAGGCTGAGAGACTTCAGAGAAGTGTGACTGGCCCAAGGTCACCCAGCAGCTGCATGTGGAGGAGCGGGGAAGCGAACCCGGTTCACCAGATTACGAGTCTACTGCTCTTAACCACTACACCACACTGGCTCTCCCCTCCGGTCGGCACCCAGTTTCAGGGGCTGGGCAGAGGAGGAGGAGTGGTGGAGACCACCTCCCAATCCTGATGTTTCCAGGGAGGAGGAAGAGGAAGACGGTATAGATTTACAACAGGGGTTTGAGGGAGGTAACAGCTCAGAGGCCGATGAGGGGGAAAGTTGGGAAATAATGGGAGAGGAGGAGCAGGCAGAGCCGCAGCAACATCTGGCTGACACGTCACTAGAAAGCATTCCAGACCCTCCATCTCCCAGAACCCAGCGAGCCTTAAAAGTAGGAGAGCAAAGAGCTCAAAGACAGAGGGTACTTAGCAGCATCCGTAGAGATGATGACGAATGAGGAAGTGGGAGAGACGGGGATGGAGATTCACCCGGGACAACAAAAAAACACAATGGAGTGAATGGAGGGGCTATCTTGAGGACTGTGTCTTAAAAAAAAACTAATGGAAAACAACATGGAATAAAAATTTTGCCACTTGCAGGTTAACAGATATATGGACTTTGTTAAATAAGATAGTGAGTCATACACCAGTGGCTGATGGACAAGATAAGAATGGTTAAGATCGGAATGATGAAAGTGGAAAACAACAAGGAAGAAAAGCAGAAGACTAATGAAGGATATTATCTCTCAGTATCCAGAACTTGGGAAGCCCCCTTCTGGTGTTTGTTTTGGGTTTGTTTGTTTTTAATTTGGAGTGTTCAATTGGCTGTACTGTTTGTACAGTGGTACCTCGGGTTAAGAACTTAATTCATTCTGGAGGTCCGTTCTTAACCTGAAACTGTTCTTAACCTGAGGTACCACTTTAGCTAATGGGGCCTCCCGCTACTGCAACGCCGCCAGAGCACGATTTCTGTTCTCATCCTGAGGTAAAGTTCTTAACCTGAGGTACTATTTCTGGGTTAGTGGAGTCTGTAACCTGAAGCTTCTGTAACCTGAGGTACCACTGTATTTTGATTTGGTATGATTGGAATTGATTTTTCATTAATTGGACGGTTTTTAATTGAAAATGAATAAAAATTATGTGTGGTTTTTTTGGTATGTGTTTTTTAAATAAAGCTGTTGGATGAGAATATCTGAGAAGCCCTGATTGATCCAGCCAGTGTCCCATCTTCGATCAGCATCCTGCTTTCCCAATGGCCCACCAAGATACCCGTCGGAAGCCCACAAGCAAGACCGGAGTGCAAATCGTGCTTGCCCCACTTGCAATTCTGACCAACTGATCTCCAGAGGCGCTTCTTGCCTCTGACAGTGGAGGTAGAACAAAGCCTTTGTTTCATTTCATTTCACATTTCATTTGCAATCCGCCTTTCAATATTACCAAACGGGGTGGTTTGCAACAAAATAGACAGGAAAGATCAAACACATAATAACAATCTGATCCAATACAAAAAAGTCATGATAACTAACATAAACAATTTATACCAAATAAAGCAATATTCAGTAATCCATTAGAATATAATAGTAAACAGTAAAATTAAAGACCAGCAAATAATAATTAAACAGTTTGCACTTAGCAGTTGCAATAAAGAATTACTGAACTATAATCAATAAAAACAAGTCACAATGCGTAAAATAGCACAAAACGATGTAAAAGTGTCAAACTGAAGAACAAGGACTCACAGCTTATAATTGTATTTTATCTTTTAATATCCCTGAACTCCCCTTCTCTCTTCCCAGCTGCTTCTGCTGTCCTAAAAGTCATGGTCTGGGAAAGGCTCCTAGGGCTGGAGAGAGGGGCAAGGCAGGTGGGAAAAGCCACTGCCTGGTGGCCAGCACAAAGTCTCCCTCCCCTCCCCTTGCGGTTAATAGCCGCTGACATACACACCCTCCATCAATTTGCCTAAACCTCTTTGAAAGCCATCCAAGCTGTTGGCCATCGCTCCATTGGGGATTCACTCCCGGTTGGGGCAGGGAGAGATGGGTCAGGATGACCCTAGATGCTGCCTGCGTGAGTCACTGCTCAGGGCTGGATTCTTTGGAATTCAGAGCCTCGCTCCAAGCAGTAACTCATGCAGAGTCTCAAGGGGGTGAGTAAGTCTTTCCTTTCCAAGATTACAAAAAGTTTAGGGGTCAAGGCAGAACACTGTGCCTACTATCTTCGATGACTGAGGTGGCAGAAGTTTGTGACTTGGCAATCTGAAGTTTCAGAAAAAATTGTCTGTGATTCATTCTGAAAAGTTGAGTGTGAAAAACAGAGAGAGATGCAATTTCCAATTTCCACAGTTTTGTTCCGAAGAACTTGTTGTACTAGTTACTTGATACTTCAACACTCCTGGGACAAATGTATGAATTGGTCTCTTTCCCATGGAGATGCCTAGTATTTGTGTGCTGTTTGTACAATTCCTAGAAGCTCATTTGCACACAGTTCGGGTTTCTGACATCCTTCACTGACACCAGTTACCAAAATGGCTGCATGTGGACACCATTAGGGATGAAGGAGGAACTCGATTTGCATTGGGAGGTGAGCCTAGCGAACTCACATTTCCTGAAACAATACATGAACTGAAACCTTGCTACCTTTCAAAATTCGCACTTGTCTGAAATTTGCATTGCAGCCGTCCAGTTGCGTAATTTGTACGCAAATGCATATAATAGGATAAAGTGAGTGTAGAACGTACATATGTTGGTGGAAAAAATAACCTGCAAAAATGCGTTACGTTAAGGACACTTGCTTTGTAAAAATGTGGACGTGAGGCAAAATGGTGTAAAATATATATACTGGGAGTAATTCACACTGAAATGCTGATGAATTTCTGTGAGGCAAATATTTATTGCAACCTTGGTGTGGAAATGTGTAGAAGTGAACGAGAATGGAAAAATAAAAACCCTGAGAGAAACTGAAGCTGACAGATTCATGCGTCCCTAGATGTCATGATAACAGTTTTCAGCAAAAGTGGGGAATCTCAGACCTAGAGCCAGAATGTGGCCCTTGTTGCTCCTCTGTCTGGCCCCCAGGTGGAAGTGTGGAACCTTATCATAGGAAGGCAAGAGTCTTGTTATTCTCCCACCCACTTTCCCCTCTGACCCACCACTGGCATGGAGTCCGTGAGGGGATTCAGTCCATGGGGCTGAAAATTGTTCCTCATCCTTGGTTAATCCTGACAGGAGGTAGCTTATAGTCTTCCCCACAGCTCACATGTCTTCTCTTCCCTCACCTCTTTGGCGCAGCTGGGATTCCACTTTCAATTTGACCACAGTTTAGCGTTACCTTCGAACCCTAAACTCTGGCTGATAGGTACTTGTAGCCGAGCAAAACAAGCCAGCTTTATCAAACATGGTTTGACATCCAACTTTCCCCCTCAACCATAAATAAGATTAACCACAGTTTGTCAGCTTCAGGCTACGCCAACAGCTGCAGTTCATCCAAAACAGAAGCAAAAAGTCCCCAAGCTCCTCTCACAGTTCTGTCAAAGGAGCTGGGGCAGCATGGGATCACGCAAGGCCTGTTTCTTGTCCAAAGACAGTCAGTGTGGTGCAAGGCAGGAAGAGAACTTTAGGTCAAAGCTAGCGAATGTGGGAAATCTGGTTTCGTGTAGTTCCTAGAGTTCCCTGGAAAGAGGGGCTGACTGTTAAGCCGCTCTGGAAATTGAAGCTCTGTGAGGAGAGTTCTCTTAACAACTGTCAGCACCCTTAGCAAACTACAGCTCCCAGGATTCTTTGGGGCAAGCCACGGTCGTTCAAGTGGTTGTTGGCATCCGTCAGTCTCGAGAGACAACGGAGTCTGCCTCTGGGGGTGAAGCCAAACCACTGGAGAATCACAGCACCTGCTGTGGCTGCAGAGACCGCTAACTCATAATGGCTGCCTCCCGTGTTGTTTTTGCTGTGTTTACAGCGCCAACGTGACCTCCCTGGGTTGTAAGCCTGGGCGGTGTGTATGGAGGTCTTGGGCTGCCCAGATGACAAGACCCCCCCCTCCCTCTTGCCCTGGCTGATGGGGTCCAAAGGAAAGCAGAGCAAGATGTTTGGTACCAGCTTGGCTGCAGGAGTTGCTGGAAGGAGGTGTGCGCGCACACACAACAGTCTTAGGGACTCCACTCTGGAGTTGTGTAGAATTTACTCCTGAGCCTTTTATTCTCCAGAAGAAGTGCTTTAAAGACACAATGGGGCTTTGACCTTGGTTGAGTCAAGGCCCTGCAGCCTGAACCTCCTTTAATGTCCTGATGCAATCAGCGAAAATGCTAGAGATTTCCTTACTGTTGCGTTGAACTGGAGATATGCAAAAAGGTCCCATTTATTTCCCCCAATAAAACCTTCACTCACCGTGATCTTGGAAATGAGTCCGTGCAGCAGTGTCACCGCCCTGAATTCTGTTTGCTTGAGCCTTTTTTTTCTGGTCCACCACCTCCTTTAGCAATTAACTCTGCATAACTGTTTTAGCAAGGAAAGCTTATGCTGGTTTTGGAATTTGCTTTGCAGAAGTGGGCCTAGCTGGTTCTTCGGTGTTCTTGCAAGGAAGGCATTAGAGCAGTTACGCTTTGCTAAAACGGGTGTGGGGGTGTGTGTGCAAATTTTGAAACCATATGATGAATAGGGACAGAAGAAAAATTCAATTTGGTGCACATTCAAAGCCAAATCTATCAAATCCACACTTCCCGAAACACCACAAGAACCGGAACACAACCATTCTCCAAAATCTGCACTGACCCGAATTTTGTGATACAGTTCTCCAAACAAAATGTGTGTATTAGGGGAAAGATGAGGATGTTAGTGAATAGAACATGCATAAATGCACAGTATGCACCCCAAAAAATGTGTTTATCCAGGGAAACACACTCTAAAATATGCTGGTGGGTTTTCATGAGGATTAAAAAATATATATTGCAAAATTGCTGGAAAATGTGGAGAACTGAAGCTTGAAAAATGCGAGGAAACCGAAACTTGATAGATTCTCCCATCCCTAATAAGCCACAGAACTGAATCTCGTTTCTGGAAATTCACCACATTTGATTCAGAGTCAGAGCAAGCAAAACTGTTCTTGAAGCATGGAAATGTGTTTAGAAGAGGCAGGAGTCTTTTTGAAGTCTTCCTTCCCTGCAAGAAAGCCAATATCCAAGTGCCTTAGAAAATGGACTTAGTCTGTTGAAGGGGATCTGATTCTAAGATTTCTTCCTGAGACCCTCTGCTGGTCAGAGTCCAGCACAGAGACCCAGAATCTGTCTCACTCTGGGTGGTTGTTGGACCCCAACTCCCATCCCCCCTGACCGTTGGCCACGCAGACTGGGGCTGATGGGAGTTGGAGTCAAAATATGCAGGCTAGCCGGTGCCACCGATATAGAAAGCGACAGGGCAGTGTTCTGATCTGAGAAAAGGCAGCCTGAACTACCCCGCAGGGATGTTGTGTTGATAAGATGGGGGTCACATCCATCTGTCCTGAGCTCCGTGGAAAACCTGTGAAATCAAAAAACTCCTATCCATTTGTTGCAGGTTTTGGCTACGCTTATCACCCTCTTTCCGCTGTATTACACCTACATCTGTTATCAGCTGGAATCTGACTCCTCTGGCTTTTCCTGAGAAAAGAGTTTTGTTTGTTGCTGGTGATAAGGGAGGCACATTCTGAGCTGGCCAAGTTACTGGGAAAAAGAGGATGCTGTTTGCTTAGATTTCCTGTCTACTGCTGAACAAGTGTGGCTAGTTCTGGGGCAGCTGTTAGAGCTTGGAGTGATTCTGCCGTTCTCTGTTGTGTGCGTGTCCTGAGATCAACTCATTTCTGAAGGCAGAGGCCACTAGAGGGGGGAGCAATTTCTACTCCTGATGGGTTACTTTTTAACCCATTACCCATTAACCCATTACACATACCATACCATTAAGGCGCATTCCCTTCTTTAAAAAAAGTTAAAGACTTATATTACAGACTTATAATTTGGCATGAAATTTGGACTGTTTGGTCGTACTATAATTTGGAATGGTTTTAATGTGGTTTAATTTGGACTGTTAAAATGGAAAATTTAATAAATATTATTATTTAAAAAAGAAAAGAAGAAGAAGGATCCTGGGAACTGTAGTTCGCCCCTCAGCAAGGATGGAAGGATTTGTCCATTTTTGTTCTCTCAATATCTCATTTTTCCAACATTAAATTCGGTTCTCTGCAAATTCGGTTCTCTGAAAATTCATCAGCATTTTTAGTGTGAATTTCTCCGAAAATAACACTTTTAGATGCAGCTTTGACTAAACCACAATTTTTTTTTTTTTTTGCAATTTCCACAAATATTTTCATTTTTATGCACACTCTCTCCTAAAATATGCATTTTTTTTGCAAGTGTTGCTTATGTGGGCAACCGCTTTGCAAAATACAGGCAGGTGTGAACTTCAAAGGATAGCTGTGTTTCAGTTTGCTTATTTGTTTCACAAGATCTATATACCACTTGATTGAAATGAAACCTCAGAGAGGTTTACAAAAAAGAAGAAGAAGAAGAAGAAGAAGAAGAAGAAGAAGAAGAAGAAGAAGAAGAAGAAAAGACAATAAAATTATCAGTATGTTAAGTGGAAAGTGCAGCTTTGATACATTCGGTTTTCTATGCACCCTGAAATGGATTTCTCACTCATCTCTGCTTCTCAAAGAGCTACACTTCTTAGCACCCTTAACAAACTACAGCTCCCGGGATTCAGGGTGACTCTCTGTGTGTACAGATGTACTTTCAATTAATGGTGACAAATCTATCCATTCTGGCTTCTCATTTTTCCAACCTGCATCAATTTGCAATTTCTTTATTTAAATTCCTTAGGAAAATTTTGTTGGCTTTCTTAGGCACATTTCTCCTAATATACATATGAACATTTTTGCACGTGGCACTTTTCTGATAAGCTGCATGTATACCGTCAGGGAACTGCCATCGGCTCAGAGGCGAGAGGTGGAAGGGCAGCTGGATTACAGAGAGCCTCCAAAGATCGTGGGAAGCAGCACTTCCTCAGCGGAGGAGGGAAGCCCCGCCTCTAGTGGGGAAGAGCTACAGGGCTCGGAGGATACAAGAAAGAACCAAGACACCATGCATGAGCAAAGCGGGGGGGGGAGGGAGGTCCCCCTTTACCCAAGCCTTCCCTGCGCAGTAGGTTTTCACGCAGAGAGGGGAGGCGTCGGATGGGGGTCAAGAGACTACTCTGCTGGGGAAAGTTTAAGGACCGCCCACTCTCAGATTCTGCTAGTGACTGAGCAAGACATGGAATTGAGATGTTCTGCACTGTAAATGTTTTGCACCAATAATAAAGCCTTTGAAAAGACCAGTGAGGGATTTTGCCTGTTCGCTCTCGAGCAACCAAGCCGATAGGCATAACATATACCATTTTGTTTATCATTTACCTTTTCCTGCTGACAGCCTCTTCTGGAGTAACAATATGGGAGCCAGTTGTATACCATCTAGAATCATAGAATTGTAGAGTTGAAAGGTATCCCCAGAGTTCTCTAGTCCAATGCAGGAATCTCAGCTAAAGCATCCATGCCAGATGCCCACCCAATTGTTGTAAGAATTCTAAGGTCTCAAATATAGGCTAAATGTTCATAAATGCACAAGGTAAACCACGCATGTCTAAACCACATGACTCTCGCCAAAGGACCTCAAATATTTCTCTGCAGTAGGAGAAAAGAAATGGGGGGAGCTTCCCAATTGTCTTTTCACTTGCAAACCCAGTTAATAAAACGGCCTGAAATGTAGGGGCTTACACCTCCCTGCAAATCCAGTCTGGCAAGTATCTGTTAAGCTGAGGAGACTATCAATACAGTAGGTGTAAGTTTGTAAATAAGAGATTCATGAACTAAAGTATTTACCATCTTGAGGGAATGAACGTGCTACCCATACAAGTGAGTCCGTAAATGACTTTGGTTTATTGAATATTTACAGATAAATTGTAAACAGATAAGTACATTGGCAGGGTTATTGTAATAACCTGCAGTTTTATAAGAGTATATATTTAAAGTAGATGAATAAATGAGCAAATTAAGTCAAATTGGATATGCAGAAGACATCTGAAGGCAGGGGAGCTTTTAATGTTTAACAGACCACTGTATTTTAATATTTTGTTGGAAGCCGCCCAGAGTGTCTGGGGAAACCCAGCCAGATGTGCAGGGTATAAATAATATGTTGTTGTTGTTGTTGTTGTTGTTGTTGTTGTTGTTGTTGTTGTTAATAAATTTAAGGAACCACAGAAAGAGGGGGAAGGAAGTCAAGTTTTGAAATGTTAAAATGATTGTAAAATTAAGGAAATGAAAAACCTGAAAAGGATACATATTTTATTTTATTTTTAAAAAGATAGGATTAGCAACAATGGTATCATCCTCTGGGCAAGAGCAGGTTGCCCAAACTCTACCCATCCACCCCGTCTCGCCCCCACAAAATTTTCCCTGCTGCGAAAAAAGCGGGTTGTGAAAGAGAACATGACACGCCGGTTGTGCAAGGGTGACTTTCATGCTGGGTTTCCCAGGTCTCCCTTCCACATAAGAGTAGGCTGTTTATACTGGATCCTGGAAGCGGGAAGAGGATCACCTTGGGATCAAAAGTTCCCAAGACCACTTTGCTTCTGGAGCCAGACCACAAAGTGTAATCAAGAAGCAGTCAATGTATACAGAGAAGCCCTGCTTTGGGCTTAGTCACGAGAGTCCCTCTCCTCGGTGTCACGGTGGCTTTACAGAGAAGAGCGTGCGAGGGAACATTGGGTCATCTTCTGCAGGCCCCCATCCATGGCTCATCTCTGGAGAATAGGAAGCTGATTCATGCATAGTAAGAGAGCATTGACCACTCAGGGCAGTTCTGGCTAAATGTGGCTCTGCAATGTCCCCAGCTAAGCTCACTCCCTGACTTATGGCTTCAGATTCTTTGGACATAGGGACACCAGGAGTTGACCCCAGGGCCTTCTGGGACATAGGAAGGTCATGCTGTTTACCAGGCATGGGCAGGGCCAGATTTAGGTTTGATGAGGCCCTAAGCTACTGAAGGTAGTAGGGCCCTTTATATGTCCAGCTGTCCTTTGTCAACAACAAATTGTCACTGCTTTTTTGTGTTGAATATATGCTATACAGTAATTTATGGACCTAATGGCTCTCTAAAGCCATTTGCACATGTTGCTATGCAACCAATCCATGCAGAATGTTGTTGTTTACTCGTGTCCGACTCTCCGTGACCCCATGGACCAGAGCACGCCAGGCACTCCTGTCTTCCACTGCCTCCCGCAGTTTGGTCAGACTCATGCTGGTAGCTTAGAGAACACTGTCCAGCCATCTCGTCCTCTGTCGTCCCCTTCTTCTTGTGCCCTCCATCTTTCCCAACATCAGGGTCTTTTCCAGGGAGTCTTCTCTTCTCACGAATGGCCAAAGTATTGGAACCTCAGCTTCAGGATCTGACCTTCCAGTGAGCACTCAGGGCTGATTTCGTTCAGAATGGATAGGTTTGATCTTCTTGCAGTCCATGGGACTCTCAAGAGTCTTCTCCAGCACCATAATTCAAAAGCATCAGCCTTCTTTCTGGTCCAACTCTCATTTCCATACATCTCTACTGGGAAAACCTTAGCTTTAACTATGCGGACCTTTGCTGGCAAAGTGATGTCTCTGCTTTATAAGATGCTGTCTAGGTTTGTCATCACTTTTCTCCCAAGAAGCAGGCATTTTTTTTAATTTTGTGACTGCTGTCACCATCTGCTGTCACCATCTCTCACTGCCTCCATTTCTTCCCCTTCTATTTGCCAGGAGGTGATGGGACCAGTGGCCATGATCTTAGTTTTTTTGATGTTGAGCTTCAGACCATATTTTGCGCTCTCCTCTTTCACCCTTATTAAGAGGTTCTCTAATTCCTCCTCACTTTCTGCCATCAAAGTTGTGTTATCTGCATATCTGAGGTTGTTGATATTTTTTCCGGCAATCTTAATTCCGGCTTGGGATTCATCCAGTCCAGCCTTTCGCATGATGAATTCTGCATATAAGTTAAGTAAGCAGGGAGACAATATACAGCCTTGTTGTACTCCTTTCCCAATTTTGAACCAATCAGTTGTTCCATATCCAAACCAACTGAGCTATCGACCCGTGTTCCCTTCACAGAGCTGTTATTCCCAGAGTTCCCTGCTAAAGCACTATGGAAATGATAGTTACAGGCCGAGTAGGCTGAGTTGCAAACTTAGTTGGTCTCTAAGGTGCTACTGGAAGGATTTTTTTTATTTTGTTTCGAAATGATAGTTCTTTGAGGGGATTAGGGGTCACGTAACAACTCTCAGCTGACTGGCTGGTGGCTGGAGAGGGCCGTCCAACTTCTCCAAAGCATCTCCAAAGCTCCTGCTGCCGGCCATTTTCAATTTCATAAACTGCCTAGTCAGGGCAAGAGTGGCAGTGGGCCCAGCCAATCAGGCATCACCTTGGGTGTTGCCGGACCAATGAGAACAGCAACCAATGGGTTGAAAGGCCTGGCCTCCCCTGATGTTAGCCATTTTTAAAAATTAAAATACCCGGCAGCTAGAATATCAGTGGCCAATGCAGCCCATCATTTTTAACATTTAATTTACATAGCGTTTGTTTATATCCTACTTTATATTCCCGAAAGGCTTTCAAAGCACAGTGGGCAAGTCCACCCTTTGTCCACTAAACCGTGGTTCGATACCTGAAGGGAGTAGGCTGAGTTAACCGAACACATTTTTCTGCCAGTGGAAGCCTGTGGGGAAATTGCTCAACATAACATATGAAATCTCCAGGGGTAGGGGTGGAATCCGCCCATTTATTCCAGAACAGACAGCTCACTTTTTAGGAATCTTGCTTGATCAGAACATCCCACATGACTGGGATGCAGGGAACCCAGTTAGGTCTTCCGTCCCAGAGAAGTTCCTCGCTTGCATCACAGCCAAAGCTTGAGCAATTTGCCAAGCTGGTTTCTGGAAGATTTGCACATTCTGGGGGTGGGGGTGGGGAGAAGGAGGAGAAGAAATAATTGCAACCCACCCCCATCCCAACCAATCAAATCTGCACACACATGATATGGTGTAACGCAGAACTGTGGTGATTTTGACACTATCGGAGTAGCTGAGCATTAGGGAAGGAGGTGGGGAAGAACCAGGAGTTCCCCATCACTAGGAAATCTCTAATTGTCTTCCTCCTCCTCTCCATTCTTCCCCAGAAAACCCCTACTGTGCAGGAAGCTGATGGGAGGAACGGGAAGCCACCGAGTTCCTCCCAGATATTCACACTGACAGCTCTAATTCTCAGGTTCTGCATGCTGCCTGCAGAGACCTCTTTGTTCTTGGCTTAAATGAGGGGCAAGGACGCTCTAGCTCAGGGGTCAGCAAACTTTTCCAGCAGGGGGCTGGTCCACTGTCCCTCAGACTTTGTGGGGGGCTGGACTGTATTTTTTAAAAAAGAAAATGAACCAATTCCTATGCCCCACAAATAACCCAGAGATGCACACATTCTACTCATGTAAAAACATGCT